TGACATACAATTATTACAAAGTCTTAACAACACTAATAGCTATAGAAAATAAAAAAGAATATTTATAAAAATCAAAGAAAAGTGTAAACAGGTAAGATAGGTATAACTAGACTCCTTGGTGATTAAACATTTGTGTAGCCAACTGTAAAGAAAATTAGAAAAAGAAAACACAGTAGACATGGCATCTAGTTTTTTCCATCCTGGAATCAGTATGTTAATGAATATATATTGCATTTTTTTATTGAGTTGTAATTATCTTGTCTTTGTTGCATTAATATTCAAGTATGTCAGATGGAGTGTTTAATTATGTCCTAAATGAAAAAAACATGCTTATCAGGATATTTAAAAAGATTTATATTTGATAGTATAAAGCTACATTATTAACATGTTACTAATGTAATAAATCAAAAACCTTTAAGCTCTATCTGCATCAAGAATTATATGAAAAAGAAAACAGAGAAAAGATTTACATTTGTCATATATTGAAATGAAATGAAAGAACTTAGAAGACAGAAAATACTTTAAATGTAGGGAAAATTAACAGACCAATAACATAGCAGATTACTATCAAACTTTAACATTACAACATAGTACATAGAACAAAGGGAAATTCAGTATGGAAGAATTGTGATGCATATAAACTGCAATTTTACTGAGGGTAATGTGAATTCCTTGCCATATTAGTATTATAGACAAAATATATGCACTAGAAAACCACAAACAATGTTTTTGAAAGGAATTTACCTTTTTTCCCCTAATGCTTTGTATATTGTTTTGCATCATGAGAACTCTTTTGTGATCTTAATTTATGTTCACATCTTTTTCCAGATTATTAGTATTAGTTATGTTTTATTAGTTTATTCTTAATGCTTTCTTACATTTTTTCTTACTAGTTTAGAATGTGAACAAATTAGCAAAATAATTACATACTCAGGAAGGTATTTAGACAGAAATGTAGAGAAACTGATGGAAATATGACTGAATATGGAATGAGTAAGAGAGTTTTATTTGTGTTATCTCCTCATTATAAAGTAATATATACAAATGCAGTCCCTAAGATGCCATGCATTCCATAATTAGATGTTTAAATAGCTTTATAAATCTATCCACAACAGAACAGGCTAGCAATTGCTTAGTAAGTAAAACTGCAATCCACAACCAAAATAGATATATATGGCATTATTTGATATCGATTTTAAAGTATTCGCATGTGTGAACTGCAAAATAAAGTTTACAATGGGATGATATAATATATTTCTAAAATGCACCAGTTGACAGCAGATTTCTCTGTCTGCCTTGACAGACTGTGTTGCCACTTGTTTAGACTTAATGAGAATACCTTGCTTTTAGATATAAGAATCCACTAGTTACCAGTCCTGTATTCCATTTTAAAATCTTACATGTTTACTCATATCTCTTTACTATATTCTCCACTTGTTAATGATATAGTGGTAAGTTTGGAACATCCGCTCTTTGTGATAGGATAACTACCCCTGCTATCAAGGTGGTTGAGAGTTAAGGTGGCTGCCCTTTTGATGGTAAGATCTTGCTATGGCAAGATTAGTATGGGTGGGTAGACCTACTACTGGTCGGCCTGTCATTATATGCTCCAGTTGTGGAGCATATAATGACAGAGACTGAAGCATGCATTTGGTCTCTTATTGCTGTGTATGCTCCAACCAATGTTGGCAACCTCGATGTGAAGTTGTTCTACGCCAAACGCATCTGTGGCATACAATTGTCCCCAATGAAACTTTCAAATTGTCCTGGGCGACTTCATTGCAGTAATAGGATGTGATCAAGCTGGGTACGAGATCTTTATTAGTCCCCATGGCTCAGGAGCTGATTCCAGCAATGAGAATTGCCTCCTTCTCCAGGGCTTTGCAAGGTCCCAGAGACTGTGGATTTCTGGCTCTTGGTATCAATGCTCCAACCCACATCTCAGGACATAGTACAGTAATATGGGTACTGTGGCTAAGGAGATTGACCACATTCTTGTCAGCAGTCTCTGGAGGTCCACCAGAAATACAAGATTTGCCAGAGTGCCACATTCTGTGGCACCGCTCATAAACTAGTCATGGCTACCCTTCGAGTCCACTTACACTGTATTTGGAGGTTCACAGAGGCTGTCTCTGACTGATTCGCTGCACTTGACAACCTGACGGACACTGTAGCTTTGTGGGATTCCTTCAAGTGCAAAACACTAGATGCAGCTCAGGAGTCCACTGACAAATGAGGACAAGAAAGAATTACTTCTTGAAGAAGACACTCTAAGTGACTAACTAGCAATTGGGATTTCTGTCATTCCATGGTGCCTAGGACTCAGCCACTGTTGAGAAGGAACAAGGAACAATACAATGAGAACCTTGCTAAGGAGGCTAAAGGCCATTTCAAATATATATATATATATATATATATATATATATATATATATATATATATATATATATATATATATATACATATATGTATATATATATGTATATATGTATATATATATGTATATATATATATATATATATATATATATATATATATATATATATATATATATATGTATATATGTGTGAGAGTGTGTGAGAGAGAGAGAGTGTGTGTGTGTGTGTGTGTGTGTGTGTGTGTGTGTGTTGTGTGTGTGTGTGTGTGTGTGTGTGTGGTGTGTGTGTGTGTGTGTGGTGTGTGTGTGGTGTGTGTGTGTGGTGTGTGTGTGTGTGCGCGCGCGCGCGCGCGCCCGTGTGTATGTATACATAGTGTATATATAAATATATATATATTTATATATATATATATATATATATATATATATATATATATATAGATATATGTGTGTGTATATATATATCATGAATATTTTTCATATAATATACAGTATATAGATATTTTTGCCCTGCCGATATTACAGCACTTAAAAAGGCACATTAGCAATGAGTAGACAAAAGAAATAAAGATAAATATAATAAACTTTATTTATTTTATCCATGATCAGTTGTAGGTGGTGGTCATGCACAAATGAAAAAGTCAAGTTATGCAATGTACAGAAAGGATTCTGTCTTGCTGATCCAGCATGGGTAATTGGCGATTCACTCTCGCGGAAGCACTTATGCACCGAGGCATGATACTGTGCAATTTAAGGCAGTGAAGAGAATCAACCAATTTGCCCAATCCACGGGATCATACAGGGATTACATCGTCAAGTTAATAAACATGGCAGTAAACCCAACAACGAGGGGCTCATTTCATTTATCCTGTTTTTATGCGACTATATATTGTCTTTTCAATAGTATTATACGCCTGGCATACAGAGCATGAAGAGCTTGATGTAATAGCCATACAAGCACATAAAATGCAGCGAGATGGAAAAAAAAAAAAAACTTCGTGTGCAAGAAAGAGGACTCTTTGAAAACCATAAATCCAAAACTCATTTATGAGAAGTATTGATCCTTCATCTTAGAGGAGGATGTGAGTGGGAAAAAAGATATACAATATGATATGAGATGAATTGATGATGATATCAAGAATTGGATACGCGTACGGGTAATAAAACTCTCACTTCTGAAAAAAGAAAAACAAAGAAAAGAAGGCCCAAAGAAACTTGAAAAGAAGTCAATATATAATTTTAATAATGTCAAAAGAACCTTAAAAATAATGAATGGCGAAAGTATTAAGAAATCAAATTTGAAAAAGAAACTACAAAATACTCTCGCCTCACAAAAAACGCAAACAGGAAGGCCGTCTGCGTCGTATGCGAACGCAGTGTTGTTGTCACGTCAGCTTTTCTCATCAGCTGGAAAAGCACTTATTTCACTGTCTGTTTCAAAACGGTGCGTATTATGTTATAGGTGTAGGATTTCTGTGTTATTTATGTGATGAAGGGAGAAGCCAACTGTGCAGTTAGTGTGTATATCAGAGTTCAAAGGTGTAATTGCGGGGGATTTGATTATCATGGCAAATAGAAGAGGGAGGAGGCGAGTAATAGACATTTATTCTTTTGATGGATTACTGTTGTCATTGTCATTGACAGTTTTCATCATCATTGTCAGCAGTATGAACATCAACGCCATTCCACTACTTTAACCTCATTACAAAACAATTTGCTTGTGTTAAGGATCAGGTATCATGTGGCTTTCTATTTTTTTCTCTGGTGATGTCATTAGTCTAAAGTATCATATTATGACATCTGTGCCTTTGTCATATGACTACAAAACTAGATTGGGTAGTCACAGACTTGCGAAGAAGAAATACAATTAAAGTCGTGCAAATAATATCCTTTAGGGGCATTAAGAACCCTCACATGGAAAAGAGACAGAGATCGATTGCGCAGTAGGACGAATGCTTGACTCAGCAGAGAAGCTTTCATGCAAAGTCTTGCTAATCTATCCATAATGGCCTTCAAAAAAGGGAACTGTGGTAAATCTTTAGAAATACTGTACTTTCCTAATACTAATGATTTCAGCATCAGTAGATGAATTTGGTATAATTAGATTGCATTTGATATATGCTGACCAGATGCATTCATTTAGGTGTAGTTTTAGTCTATGACAATATGACTTTCATGACAGACAGTGCAAGGAATAGATAAAGTGGTGATAACTAAGACACTTTTCATTGATGATATTTTTATCAAAGACTGAAAATAAATATTATTCAATGTATGGTAGTTATTTAGCTCAGGATTAATGGGCAAACTACAGATGAGTGGAGAGAGGGTATAGGGGAGGCAGACCCCTCTGCAGCCTTTTATACCGATTGCATTTAGTGAGTCAAAACATTCATGATCACCCCTAGTCCTCTTTCTAAGTATAATGATCCAGAAATGTATGAAAGGGATGTACCACAAACTGACCGAGCTTTACTAAATTCAGATTTTACCCTTTGACACTAGAAGTGCACATAGCCTTTATAATTTTTTTTTTTCTCTTTTTTACAATGAGGGCACCACAAGTGGTTACTACACCTAGCTTATGTATTTCCTCCATTTCTTGAATTCTTGGGGAAAAAATCAAAACAATTTTTTTATTCATAACATCAATAATAAGTGTAATACATAGTGCAACATTCTGCATGTCTCAAGAAAATATTTGTTCCACAAGAATAATTGATAATGAAAAGGGACAGAAAAAAGAAGAGAAAACATATATATACATATATATATATATATATATATATATATATATATATACATATATATATATAATACATATATATATATATATATATATATATACTATATATATATATATATATATATATATATATATATACATATATATATATACATACATATATATATAT